GGGCGTAAAAATGGCCGCAGACCACGTGTCAGGGGCGTAAAAATGGCCGCAGACCACGTGTCAGGGGCGGAAAATGGCCACGGACCATGTCACGGGAGGGAAAATGGCCACGTATCCTGTTCGTACCCCGAGGCGGAGTTCGCAAACTGAGGCAAAATTTTGCAGCCGGAGCTGGTTGTAACCCGAAAAGTTCGTTAACAGAAGCATTTGTAACCAGAGGTTCCCCTGTATATGCAAGAACCTCCAGCTGTCAATTTCTAACTTTACTTTAGAACCGTTTAGGTGACAACATTATATTATATGGACAGGTATAGATTATTCTAACATCTAATTATTATAAATCATAAAGATGATGGGAAATAGCAGGAACCTCTCACATATGCTTGCAACATGCACAATGGTTTAAAAGAGAGAGATTTAAAACCACCAAAATGGTAAACTAACTTCTAATTTCCCTGCTCCATGAGTTAGATCAGTGTTTATCATGCTGGCTGGGGAATTTTGGGAGTTGAAGTCCACACATCTTAAAGTTGCCAAGTTTGAAAAACACTGGGTTAGATTTTCCTAATCTCCCTGGCTTGCCTTTTTTTTACTTAGACAAGAGAATGTTTTCAACAAGCCTAACTTATACCTAGTGTTGTTTTTAACAGAATTTTGGATTAATTATATGAAGTGCTGATTAAGCAAGAGAACAAGGTGCTTGTCAAATATCTTTCCTCAAAGAATTCTTAAGCAAATTGAAGTTCAATACCTATCAGGGACAAATGTGCTAGAAATGTTTATTCTTAGGACAAGAATCTAGAGAAAGATGCTGAGATCAAAGCGGCAAGAAGGTAGAAATGAATAAAATGGGATCTAATATAGTGATAGGTATTCCTCTCTAAATTCAGTTCATATCAATGTGGTATTTTAATGAACAGGACTTGGGTAAATACTGCCAGTTTAACAGTACCATTAAATTCAATTGATAATTTCAGTTGAGAAAGTTTATGTTGAAGAATAGTGTCATCCACTGGTGGGAACTAGTATAGCATTGTAGCTAAGAACTGGAGATATATAGTAATTATTTATACTTATGGTATACATAACTTACCAGAATTTGATTGATTTATTCTAATGTGAATCTGATCAAAAGAATGTGCTAACTGAACAAATACATTTTTCTTTTTTGCTCTCTCTTAGAGGGGGAAAATGAAAGCCATCTTTCTCTTGTTGTTTTTAATTGCTGGAATCCTCACTGACAATCCTGACCCACATACTTCTAATCATCCTAACAAGAATAATTATGACAATTACCAGTATGAGCCTAACCAAAGAGGTGACCAGATGCCAATCCAAGTACTAGTCAACAGTAATTCTGACTTTGCTTTCAAGTTCTTCAGGAAGGTCTTTTTCCATGGAAGCAAAAAAGGTGGCACAGACAAGAACAATGTTGTCTTCTCTCCCATCTGCATCTCCTCTGCCTTTGCAATGCTAGCCTTGGGTGCAAAGGACAACACTTTAGATCAGATCTTGAAAGGACTTGATTTTAAGCCATCAGAGTTCCAGGAGAGCATGATACACAAAGGCTTCTGTGAACTCATGCACATGTTAAATAATGGAGGAGCTGGACACCAGATGGAAGTGGGGAAATGTCTCTTCGTGCAAAACCAGCTACATCCTGAACAGCAATTCTTAAATGGCCTCAAAAATATGTATGGAGGAGACATCTATTTAGAAAATTTTAAAAACACTGCAGAAACTCAGCAGCACATCAACAGTTACATTGAAAGGAAAACCCATGGGAAAATTTCTAAGCTTGTCAATGGAATTGATCCCATTACTGAAATTCTGCTAATTAGCTATATTTATATGAAAGGTAAAACAAGTTAACAGGCTCTTGATTTCATTTTTTTTTTCAATCGTAGCTGATCTTAGATTTTTGTCACATATTACATTGTGGCCTAGGTGGGCATTCAGTGGAATGATTAAACTAGAGTGGGAGGAGGGTACACAAACAATCTCTATCCCCAACTTCTCTAGCACCACATTGCCAGTTCTTGACTTTACTAGATAACACCCAAAGGAGATAGGATTATAGCTGCATTCAGGCTGAACTTCATTCTGTATGTAGTTCTGCTTTGCCTTAACCTTCTGGGTTTTTTGCTTGCCAACTCCCCCCCCCCCCCCCCC